AGGCAGTGCTGCATGAAGACACTGAACCTTCTTCATAGAGATGCATTGATTCAATGCAATTCTATGAGTAGATGCTGTTTGGCCCTGCTCCCAGCCCGTCTCCTTGCCAATCTCCGCAAATCCAATGCTTCCCCTGTGGGAAAGCATTGGATTGGCTGAGATTATCAATTCTGATGATGTCAGCTAAATAGGAATGTTTGTGTTCTTCACCTTATATTTAATGTTAATGCCATATGCTAAGACAATGACATGTAAATAATGCACGACTTAAACATCAAAAGTTGCAACCTTAAACTTAATTATACTATATAAAGCCACATAATTTGTTTTATTTTGTCTATATGCTGTAGTATGCGCAGTGGAAGAATTCAGTTAAATTGGAGTAGAGTAAAATGAGAGAATACATTAGATACACTATACATAAACTATAAGAGGAACTGAGTTGCTTGCAAAGTTTTATTTTTGAGATAATTTTAAGATGCATACTGTATCTCACACACATCATTCAAACACACTCACAAATAAATGCTAATTGTAAGGAAAAAAAACATATACCACTACCTTTCAGCTGATGACCTCTAAAGGGTGATCCTATTCTGCAAATAGTAAAAGGGAATCTATAATGCCAGGAATACAACCTTGTTTTCCTGGCACTATAGCTTTCCCCTCCCCCCCCCAAGTGTGCAGAAGGAAAAAAAAAAACTTTGGTCACTTACCGAGGTCCAGTGCCGATGTTCTTCGGAGCTGGCTCCAGTCCGCTTTCTCTCCTGGCCATGCTCACAGTACGATTTCCCAATAGGAGAGCATTATACAATGCTTTCCTATGGGGTTTTGGGTGCCGCTAGACGTGCCCATCCAGCTGTCTGGTAGACAGCCACTAGAGGTTGTTTTAACCCTTAAAAGTAATAAGTAGCTTTGCAGTGTTAAGGGACCTGAGAATATGCACCCACACCACTTCAATAAGCTGAAGTGGTCTGGGTGCCTATAGTGTCCCTTTAAGTTGAAATTATATATATATATATATATATATATATATATATATATATATATAAAATTGATTTTGAATTGGTAGGTCATCATGAGATATCATATAGTACTCGTCGGCTAAGGATTGTATACATCAGTCATAATCATACATTTTCAAAAGTATATGATAAGTAGTAGTAAATTAGTATGATGGAAATGCATTGGGGCTATTTGTGGAGAGGATACATTTATTTACTAAAGTTAGTCAGTCTGATCATTTGATGTAAAAAAAAAAAAACAATTGGTATAGTTTAATATTTAACATATTTTCATTTTGTCACTTAAGGAAAATTTTAAAATGAAAATATGGGTCCCACTTTTTATTACATTTCTTTGTGTATTGTTCCTTGTTGACTCACATATTTTTATTTTATGCACACCATTTTTACAGTGAGAGTCTGAGAGAGATTGAGGATGGTTTAACTGTGAATGTGACTGGGCCAAAGCAACTGTGACTGCATAGTGAGTGTATGAGTAGCCATCAGAGTTGAGATTAACAATTAACAGCAATAAGTATAAGTATAATTTAGCTAATGGGAATCCACTGGCAGGGAAGACAAGGATACCAATATTTTTTGAAAGCTTGTATTATGACTTCTGTGAGTTATTTATATAATCTCATATTTTCATATCATCTATGGCTGCTCCTAAATGTAAGAAAGAATATGTAATTAGTGGAGCGCTGATTATCTAAAAAATAGATGAGAGATAAGGTACAAAAAACAGGAGACCTAACAACCTATGCAGTATAAGACAAATAGAAAAAATAAAAGTACCTTTCTCTTCTAATAACTCATAATTAGTAACCTTACTGGCACACTCAAAATAAGTTAAAACTCAATTTATTGATTAATATACAGATAAATTTAAAAAGAAAATAACATCTGTTAAAAATAGTATATCTATTTAGAAAAAAGCCATGCAAAAAATCCAGACCTTATTTGAAATTCTCGGCGTCCCGAGTCAGCAAAGGTAGTGCTGAAAAATATCAGATAGAGAGTCCTCTTTAAAGTGCAAATGTTGGCTTGTATCGATGGGAGTCAGACCCCTCCAGACGCGTTTCTCCGCTTCAGCGGCTTTCTCAATGGATGCGGTCTGCCTCATTGTATCCACTTATATAGTGATAGCCGACTTACTTTTTCGCGGCAAATTCAGTAATAGATGTTACAAAAGTATACTATCTTCTATGGAACCAATCAATTACATTATATCAAACTTTAAAATCGTTACTATTTATTGTTTCAGTCATCACAGTATACTACTGTTCTTTATTTATTACCGTTACTATAGCAACACCCGCCCGAGCAGGTTCGAATGCAACTGCCGTTTTCTTCTAATAAGACAGAAAACGAAAATACAATAAAATAAAATAAAATAATAAAATGTATTTAAAAGAAATTTATTATAAAATAAATGTCTTAAATCTTCTACTATACTCATAATATTACAGCTGTGGTCGATGATAAAAATAAATAATAAAAAATTATTTATTCAGTCAGTCTAGATATTTAAACCTTAATACTTATACTGCCTCTATTAATTATAAATTCATTTGAGCTTTATGTAGATATGAATAATTCTACTTAGAGGAACCTTCCTCTATTACACAAAAAATTTTTTTGATTGAATTGAAAATAATCCCTACCAATTTATTTCTTAAAGGAAAAAAAAAAAAAAGGGAAGGATTCATCCCAAAAAATGGCACAGCTCAAACTCAGCATTTAATCCCTTAGGCTGCAGCGTATCTAATTTATAAATCCATTTCATCTCGGTAATGCCCAGTTGTTTATTATGATCTCCTCCTCTCCAGTTTTTATTTACTTTGCATATCCCCTTAAAATTCAGAAGAAGACTCATATCTGAATTATGGTGTTGCTTAAAATGGGCTGAAACCGAGTGTTGCGTATAACCTTTTTTTATATTCAGCATGTGTTCTCTAATTCTAACATACAATTGCCTCTTTGTTCTTCCTACATACTGGAGCCCACATGGGCACTCCAGTACATATATTACGTTAGTACTATGGCAGGTGATATATTCTTTTATTTTGAAAGATTCTCTCTCTTTCTTACAGTTATTGTTAATAACTTCAAATACTTCTTTTGTTTGTTTGTGTTTGCTTTCTTTACACGCAATGCAGTCTAAACAGTAAAAGAAACCATTTTTCTTTGTTATAGTAGGAACATTTCTTCCTTTTAGATGTTTATTTGTTATTTTCCTTCTTAGGTTCGGTGCACCCCTAAAAATAATTTTAGGTCTTACTGGTAAGCTGCCAGCCAGCATTTTATCTTTTTTCAATAAATGCCAATGTTTTGTAAGTATTCTTTTTAGTTGTATATTTTCTTTATTGTAGTTCAAGATAATTGCTGGAAAGTTATCTCCTGGTCTTTTTATTTGTAGTTTGTCTCTATTTTTCAGGAGATTAGTACGGTCTAGCTTCTCTACTCTACATAATGCCTCTTCTATTTCCTCCTGTTGATAGTTTTTCGACAAGAATTAATTTTTTACTGTTTCCGCTTGTTCCCTGTAAACTTCAAAGTCTGTGCAATTGCGTCTCAGACATCTAAATTCGTTATAAGGTACGTTCTTTAGCCATGTGGGTAGATGACAGCTTTCTTTAAGGATAAAACTGTTCACATCAACTTCTTTAAAATGCGTTTTCGTTTTTACTGTGCCAGAATCTATATAGATGGTGAGGTCAAGGAATTCTACCTGTGTTTTACTACAAGTAGTGTTAAGTTGCACTCCCCAGGTATTCTTATTCACATATTCCAAAAACTCTTGCAGATCTTCCATCTCACCTTCCCATATGAAGAAAACATCATCAATGTATCTTTTGTATCTGTGAATATTCATATTCCAAGGATGTCCATTCCAAATGTAATTGTCCTCCCAATCCCCCATAAACAGGTTGGCAAAACTAGGGGCAAATTTTGTCCCCATGGCTGTTCCCTTCTTCTGGAGATAAAACTGGTCTTCAAATAGAAAATAATTGTTCTTCAAAATGAAAGCAATCCCTTCTATTATAAATGAAATTTGTATGTCTTCCAGTTCCCTATATTTCTTTAATGAATTTCTCACGGAATCACAGCCTTGTTGATGATCAATAATCGTGTATAGGGAGGTCACATCTGTAGATACTAATATATAGTTTTCTTGCCAGGAAAGAGAATCCAGTTCTTTAATCATCTGTGTCGTGTCCTTCAAATGAGACTTAACTTTGGACACATATGGTTGCAAGAATGTATCGATGTACTGTGACAGATTTGATGTGATAGAGTTTATCCCTGATATTATTGGCCGACCAGGGGGTGCTATCAAATCCTTGTGGATTTTTGGTAAGAAATAAAAGGTAGGGGTTCTTGGGAAGGGGATAGCAAGAAATCTGTATTCGGACTCTTTCAGGATTCCCATGTCTCTAGCATTACCCAGCATAATTTCAAGTTCAGTCTTTATTGCATTCAATGGATCAGTTGATAATTTCCCGCATGTTTTAGGTTCTTCCAGTAATCTTGTTGCTTCTTTTAAATAGTATTCACTCGTCATAATAACTATTCCTCCACCTTTATCTGCTGGTTTGATGCAGATCTTTTCATTATTAGTTAAATCCTTAATTGCTTCTCTTTCTTTACTTGTTAGGTTATTCCTTGAGTGATTATTCTTTTTGATTTTCCTTATATCATCGGTTACTAATTCCTCATACATTTCCATCCCAGCAGAAACTTGATTTATAGGGTAGAATTTGGAGGTTGGTTTCAGTTGACTATGTTGGAACCTACTCAGAGGCTCTTCTTTTACTGGAAAATCTGGCAACTGATCAAAGTATTTTTTGATGCTTAATTTTCTGATAAACCTTTTAACATCAATGGTTGCCTCAAATTTATCCACATGTGCTGTCGGTGCAAATTTTAGTCCTTTATTAAGTGCTGTAATATGGTGAGGTAATAATTTTATGCCAGCAAGATTAAATATTCCTACTGAATGTTCTTCTTGGTCTTTTTCTTGATTAACCCTTGTTCTTCTTCCTCCTCTATTTCTTCTAAGTTGGGCTCTTTTCTTTTTGTCCTTCTTGGTGTCATCGGATGGAACCATGTAGTTATTTCTCTGGTGTTCCTTCCTAAAAAAAACGCCTCCCTTGTGTTATTATGTACCTCTGCTTGAACCGTTACTGTATTTCCTCCTACAGGAGTCTCCACATATTCTTCTTCTCTTCTCCTTTCAGATGTCTTTTCAATTTCCCTATCTTTATTTTTACCATATATTTCCTTCCTCCTGTCCAGGTGGGTATTTGGTGGCATTCTGTGTTTACTTTCATCTTGACCTCTTGATATTCTAAAATTTTCACGTTCTATATTCTGTCTGTGCTTTGTCTCTGTTCTCCTTTGGACTATTGGTGGATCTCGCCTCCTCAACAGATAATCCCCTTCTATGTTGTTCAAAGGTCTTCTCCATCCCTCATGTGTCCGTCTTTTATCATTAACTGGTATAAAATTAGGATTTTCTCGTTCATAAAGTATTCTTGACTGCTGGTTAGGACTTCCATTCCATTTATTATTTCTTCTTACATAAGAATTTTTATTTTGATTCTCATATTCAATTCTATATTGTTGATATGACTTTTTCTCTTGATAGTTCTTTTTCTCATAATGTGAGTCGTATTTCTTCTGAAAATTTCTGACTCTATTGTTTTTATAGTCATCCATATCCCGCAGGAATTTCTTCTTCTTAGTCCTCTTTATATCCTCCTCCAGTCTATCTACACTTTCAGCTATTTTAGCAACCCTTTCCTTTGGATTGTCCCCTCCTTCCAGGGATTCTAGGATATTTTGTATTTCTTTAATTTCCTGGTGTAATTCTACCAACTTCTTTTTTCTACATTCAATGATAATATCCATAAAAACAAATGAGCAGTCTTCCATTGCTTCATACCATCTTTCTTTAAGTTCAAGATACTCGATGGGGAACGCTGGATCTTTAAATAACCTTAATCCCCGGGGGGTTATGTTGTCAATAATGTATTGCTGAAGTGTAGCAACTTCCCATTTTAGTTTCAATTCCTGTTTTAGTAGTCTTTCCAACTTTAAAAATAGGAAATTCCTATTGTGTTTAGTGGAATATTCCTTTAAGATATCTATTCCAAAACACCTGGTAGCGTTAGTATCTACCTTCTGCCTTAATGTGTTGATGTCCATAATTGTATATAGGGGGAGGGAGGGGGGGGGGGGATAATATCACTGGTATATTCAATAAAGGATATAGGAAAAAAAAAAAAAAAAAGGGGTATAATCTGCTGCTCAACACTAGTTAGGTTTAAGTAATAGAAATGCAAGAAAGAATATGTGATTAGTGGAGCTCAAATGAATTTATAATTAATAGAGGCAGTATAAGTATTAAGGTTTAAATATCTAGACTGACTGAATAAATAATTTTTTATTATTTATTTTTATCATCGACCACAGCTGTAATACAGCAATTATCTATATGAGTATAGTAGAAGATTTAAGACATTATTTATTTTATAATAAATTTATTTTAAATAAATTTTATTATTTTATCTTATTTTATTTTATTGTATTTTCGTTTTCTGTCTTATTAGAAGAAAACGGCAGTTGCATTCGAACCTGCTCGGGCGGGTGTTGCTATAGTAACGGTAATAAATAAAGAACAGTAGTATACTGTGATGACTGAAACAATAAATAGTAACGATTTTAAAGTTTGATATAATGTAATTGATTGGTTCCATAGAAGATAGTATACTTTTGTAACATCTATTACTGAATTTGCCGCGAAAAAGTAAGTCGGCTATCACTATATAAGTGGATACAATGAGGCAGACCGCATCCATTGAGAAAGCCGCTGAAGCGGAGAAACGCGTCTGGAGGGGTCTGACTCCCATCGATACAAGCCAACATTTGCACTTTAAAGAGGACTCTCTATCTGATATTTTTCAGCACTACCTTTGCTGACTCGGGACGCCGAGAATTTCAAATAAGGTCTGGATTTTTTGCATGGCTTTTTTCTAAATAGATATACTATTTTTAACAGATGTTATTTTCTTTTTAAATTTATCTGTATATTAATCAATAAATTGAGTTTTAACTTATTTTGAGTGTGCCAGTAAGGTTACTAATTATGAGTTATTAGAAGAAAAAGGTACTTTTATTTTTTCTATTTGCTCCTAAATGTAAGCAATTATTAATGTTTAAGAATTCCCACAGGATATCTGACACTCAGTCTTATGCCTTCTGATTCAAGTGCCTGCAGCAATCACTGTATCCATCATAGATACTACCTCAGATTGAATTATGATATATATATATATATATATATTTGTGGTTGGGGACAATAAGCAGAGTTATATTAGTAGTGGCATAAATCGGTTGTGGTGTGGTTATGGGAACCGACATTTGGGTAGGCTTGTTAAAAGAGGGCCAACCAAATTGAATGGTTTGATAAAGGGAGTGGTGGGTGGGCTGAACCAGGCAGAAACAGCACAGAGGAAGGGGAAGCCTGTATGTTTATAGGCAAACTAACCCCTCCCACAATTCCGGTTGTGGTGTGCGGGAACCAACGTTCAGGTAGGCCTGTAAAAAGAGGGCAAAAGTATATAGTTGACAACTTATTATGTGTTGACAATACATAACCAATACTTAAATATTTATCAACATTATAACCATACCTGAAAGAGAAACAGTTTGTTAATGGGAGATACTGTATAACACCCAGGTACTGGCTGACCCTTATTAAGGCAAGTGGCAAAACGATTAAGCTAAATTGGTGACTAGGGAACCTAACTAAGTGGCGATGAGAGGCTCTACCTATGATTTGGCCTATGGGGTAGGTTTGCCAGTGAGCATTGTGGTGGGGTGTTGGCCTCTCAGTGAGAGCTAAAGAGATATATGAAAAGTTTGCCGTGACTGAGGTCCTAACTACTTTGCAATGCGGGTGGAGAAGCAAGGTAGTAACTATGATTTGGCCCAAGGGGCGAAATACCTTTGCTGAGTTGGCCTCACGGGACAGCGATGTAATGGCACAAGAGGCCGATAACTACCTATGTCCACCTAGGGTACCCTAACAACCAGACCAAGCTAATTATGGCATTCTGTAGAGCATGTGGATATTGTATGTAGAGAGGTATTATCGTAAAAGCAAATCACTTGCGTGGTGATAGAAAATGTGAAATACGAAATAATTCACGATTGACATGCTTAAATAGACGTATACCTGGATGATAATTGAAAGTTGATAGTAATAAGTGAATTTGTTATAAAAGGCAAATAAATACTTGTGCAGTGATTAAATTAACCAAAACCTGAGAGTTACCCCAGAGAACTTGTGTTCACATTTACAAACATTGAACAATTATTTATCAACAGTCTGTGCCAGAAGAAGATAAAATAAGTACTATGAGCTCAGAACATGAAATTAATGTAGTGACAACAGTTGTCAACATAACTGAAGGAAATTGAACACCATAATAAAGACACAGTTGACCATATCTGACAATCGGCCCCAAATATGCAACGACCGGGAAGAAGTAGTGTGACAAGACAAATCTCGCCACTGTGCATTGGAGGAGCCTGGTTGCCCGCCTGCTGCCTTTAGACTATGGCCCCATGTTGAAACGCTTGATATTCCCCTGCGGAGACACGAAAGCCGGGTCATTCAGTGCTGGCCCTGTTTGAGCAGTGATACCCCAGATAGCTATGCCATGGAGCTCATTCGTATAATGAAAGACTATGGGAAAGATTTTGGCTCCATGGCAATTGAACTGTATGTGTGTGCTCTGAGCGCCATTCAGTAATAATGTGCGCTCAAAACTGAGCTATCTGGGGATATGTTGAATGTACCTGTTTTGTGCAATGGCTGCACAGTTATGTTTTTATGTGTTTTATTGTCTTTTGCTGCCATGTGTTCAATGGAGTTTTGCCTCTGTCCTTGGAGATAATTGGATTACTTCCCAATTATCTCCAGGATAGAAGACTGTAGAACTGGTTTTGGGCAGAAAAGCCATGCTTCCTTTGGTCACAAAGAACTACGATCTATCTTTTGAACCACTGGACCAATCTGGATGATTTTGACATATGTTTGTATTTGGAGTATGCTGATTCTGAAAATTTAATTTTATGTGAATGTGAAGCATACTTTTCAAGTTATGAATAATGTGGAAAAAAAATTATTTCTCTGCTTGTGATAATTACATTACCCATTGTGTAAGGTAATTGTATCACAGGCAGAGGGGAGGATTTTGTGTGGGAGTATCTGAGTGTATTGTATGTGTTTATTGGTTGTGTTCCAAAACCCTGTGGGTGGTACTAATGTGTATATAAGAACAATAAAACCACAGCTCTGTCTGTTCACTGCTTTACCCTCAACATGGAGCTTTCTCTCGTTCTTGGGGGGATTTACTGTATGCTGTTAGAGACTGATTGCCAGGAGTGTAAGCCGCTTGGGTGCTTTTCCTGTTCAGCTGCTAGCAGCTATTCGTGAGGTTCCAGTGCGGGAGTTTGGAGTGCTACTTGGTATTCTGTTCGGGAGTTTGGGGTTCTGCAGTAGCTGTGCCTGTGTTTCTGGAAAGGGAGGATCTACTAAACAGCGGTTTAACCCTTTTATGCCTCGGGATACAATTGGTGGCAAGCGGTGGGATCATTCCTACAGCCAGAAGGACAGCTACAGGAGACACTATTTCTTTGGATTTACAAGTGGGGGCAACGCATGTCCCAGTACAGTGACCCTAAAAGCAACAGAATGGAACCAGCAGTGTTATACGAGGAGGAGGACCAGGATGGCCGGGATGCATTAAGGAAAGGCATCTGATACTAGTCCCTGAATAATGTACAATACCAGCGGGGTGAGAGTCTCCCCAGTGAAGAGCAGCGGTTGCAGAAGCAAGTGACCCTGCGGATGCCCTTCCTGGGAGAGCAGCCCCTGGAGGAAAGGGTGAAGGAACTAGAGCACCGGGTATGGCAGGAGCTATGGCTGGAGGATGCCTACCAGGCGCTCTGGTGGTATATGGCACAGTATATACCCTGGACAGCTGAGCATGACAAGCCAGAGGGAGAGAAGTTTGAGGGTCCTGGCTTGTTATGGGAATCCTTTGCAGAGCCTGACTTCGGGAGCCCTGCGCAGAACAGACTTCAGGACATTTTCTACAAGAGGGAGGCTAGGCATGACTGGGATGACCCCCATGAGGTAGAGCAAGACCTGGCTCACCTAGAAACCCTGGAGTGGGAACTGGAGCAGGACTACTGAGATCTCTTCCACTCCATTGGGAAGGCTCTGCAGGACAGCAGAGTGACATATCAAGTTCCAGACTCCTTCAGCTGGGAAGATATTGTTGAGATTTACTGGGAGGAACCACAGGCGGCAGGTGGAGATGGGACCGAGGTCTCTCCACCGGCCCTATAGGGATGCTGGGCGGTCAGCCCAGATCCCCAGCGGCAGATTGATTTGCAGGGAATAGAGAGCCGTGTCTCCTTTCCCCAGCAGCAGTGTGCCTTGCAGGGAGAGGAGAGCAGTGTCCTCCCTCCCCAGCGGCAAGGTGAGCTACAGGGATGCTGGGCGGTCGGCTCAGATCCCCAGCGGCAGTGTGAATTGCAGGGAATTGGGAGCCAGTCTCCATTCCCCAGCAGCAGGCTGAGTTACAGGGGACAGAGATAGTTGCTCCTGTCCCCCAGCAGCAGAATGAATTGCAAGGAATTGGGAGCCCAGTCTCCATTTCCCAGCGGCAGTATGAGTTATTGGGAATTGGGAGCCCAGTCTCCATTCCCCAGCGGGAGATACAGCAGGGAATTGGGAGCCCAGTCTCCATTCCCCAGCAGCAGAGTGTCCTACAGGGAATAGAGAGCCCAGTCTCCTTTCCCCAGCACCAGGACTCTGTATTGGGAGCAGAGACAGTCGGTCTCCCTCCCCCGTGGCTGGAAGTATATATGGGAGAGGAGCTTGTTAAACACTCTCCCCAGTGGCAGCTTAAAGTACCAGGGGGAGACTGTAAGCCCCACAACCGTGCAGATGGGACCGTGGTCTCTGCACTTACAGCACAGGGGGTAGGGACGGTCGGTCCTGCCCCCCAGTGACAGGGCTGTTTAGCCAAAGGGGAGACAGTCGGTCTCCCCCTCCAGCAGCAAAGCTGTGTATCTAAAGGGGAGACAGTCGGTCTCCCGCTCCAACCAGGCTACTCCCGTGGTAGAGC